CAGAGTAGCTGGGACTACAGGCATGTGCCACCATGCCGGCTAATTTTTTCTCTATCTATATATTTTTAGTTGTTCAGATCATTTCTTCTTATTTTTTAGTAGAGACGAGGGGGGTCTCGATCTTGTTCAGGCTGGTCTCGAACTCCTGATCTTGAGCGATCCACCCGCTTCGGCCTGCCTCCCAGAGTGCTAGGATTATAGGCGTGAGCCACCGCGCCCGGCCTGAACATGATGTTTACATAAGGCTTTATGGATGTCAAGTCACTCAACAGTCAACGGAACTCATTTTTTGACCAGCTTTATCATTCGAATGGCTGAATCAATGGTGTGCATGCCGAAAACACGCAACTTTGTGATTTCAACATCAGCATAAATAGGTCATACATTGTCACAACACTCTGAATGTAGTAGAATTTTATGATTGATTGTGTCTAATAGCAGGCTAGTTGCTCTGCCATTTTCTCTTTGTTGAAAGAAATTTGTTAGAAAAATAAACAAAAGTACAGAGTTATGTGCCCATTTCTGCATTCATTCTTCCAGAGAAAGACTTCTTTGTACCATGCTATGCAAGAATTTTAAGATACTATACCTCTAGTCAGTTTGTTGTAGTGTCTGTATTGGATAGCGCCTACAAGAATTTTGGAGCTCCTCAAACGCCAAGCTCCAGAGTGGTCAGTCATGCCTTCATGGGGCACTCCTAGTGGCAGCACAGAACACAGGATAATTAATGAAGGATACAGTCCACTTTGATGCTTTATGATCTCATTGCTTGAGACAAACTTCGACCCCTAGTTTTAACCTACTCATCAGAAAACTTCCCCCAAATGAGAATAAAATAATAGACATATAACTTTAATAATTGCATAAATGTGTATTTTTGAAATGAAATGAATGTGTCTTAAATCCTCATACATTTTCTTACCAGTCTTGCCTATTTTGTCTTTGATTCAAACTCCTAAATGTTTGCACACACATTCTTCGGTGAAAATGTTGGGAAACGCAGCAACGGGACTTCATTATTCTGTTCCTTCCTGTCATTATGGAAATCAGCCATCAACCTATGGAGTGATGGCAGGTAAGAAAAATTGTCTTTATACATGATATTTAATTTGGGGACACTTAGATGGATTTTCTGGGCCTGAGAGAATTATGATCAAAGTGTGACATAAAATTCTGATCTCTTAACTTTGGAAATTATTATTTAAAACCACCACTTATTTATGTATTCCCTGATCTGTGACGCCCTCAGACACCTAGAGGTTATACATAATTGCACTATTTTATGCAATCCTGAACTGCTGTGCTTCTTAATTCTTGTTTTTGCTTTGTATGATTTTTATTTGAATTAGCTACTGTCAAACCGCTTGTTGTCACTTTTTGGTGCTATTGGCAGCCTTGCCTACACTAATAATACAGTAGCTACTGGCCTGCTGTGGCTATTCAAATGTAAATGTAAATTAACTAAAATAAAATAAAATTTAAAACTCAGTTGCACTAGCTACATTTAAAGTGCTCAGTAATCATATGTGGCTAGTGGCTATCATACAGACAGCTCAGATTTATAGAACATTCCGCTCATCCCAGTATCTCTTCTGGATATTTGGCTTATAAAGATAAATAAGACACTGACTGAAGGCAAAGAGTGATTGGTAGGGGCTTTAGTGATAGCTGTTTCAGGATTTTGCAGCCCTTTCTGAATTGTTTCTGAGTCTTAATTGGGATTGAAATAATTGAAGCTACATACTTTTCTACTCTGGATAAGTAAAGCATCACTATATCAAATGTAACTACCTATGTTCATGATTCTTACATGAAGAAATTGAAGCATGGTTTTTGAGGAATGGGAAAATCTGGTTGATGAGATCCACTCATCACAAAATTCGTTGCTTAATTTCAGGACATGACCAGATAAAAGACTTTAAGATTTTAAAAAGTGCATAATTTTGTTGTGCATATA